TTTTTTCTCTTTCACTCACTGCCTCGGCCCTCTTCTGCATTCTGCCTGTACCATCTTCTCATCCCAAATGCCCCGTTACCTTTACCGTTGTGTGATTACAGAAAGCACCCCCCCAGTTTCCTTTTCATTAAAGCAGTGATTCCTTGGAGGGGAGAAAGGAAGAAACAGAACATCTAGGTTGAGGTCTGTTAATTTCTGTGGGGTTTTTTTCCTTTCTCTCCTATTTCCAGTCTACCTCAAAGAATTCCTCCTATAACCCATGGGCTTTCCCAGTTCTCTTTTACCTGCTAAACTGCAGGTATTTTTTCTCTCAAACTGAAGAGATATTCCATTGACAGACCCTGTTGTCTCCCTTTCAGGCTTCTGTGAGCCACAAACATGACAGAAGGCTTTTAAATGCCCAACCAAGTCCAGGCCCAAGACCTTTCCCCAGGCAGGAGATTGCCTTCTCTTATGGCCAATGATACTTTGCTTTCCTTCTCCTTATGAAGCTGTAGCCTTCACCAGTGGTTAATTTCCATCAGGAATTTTAATCCAACCAAAGCTTTCCTGCTTAGGTGTATTCCATGAGAAATCCCCTGACCAACAGTGTCAGGATGCCAGGCACCTCCTGAGCCCATGCTGACTTTCCAGGGCAGAGCCCAGCTGCCTTCCCTGGAATGATATTTTTGCCCCTCAAAGACACACCTCTGCTTGCTGGCCACCCTTTGGGCTGCTTTCCCAGCAGGCTCTGGCTGCTGCCTTTGAGAGTCTTCCACCTTTTAGTGTTGGTCTAATTTTAAATTTTTTCTGCATCTTCCCAGCACCTGCAAGTGCATTTCTTCCCTTGTGATTTTACGCAAATAAATATTTACATTTACACTCCTTAGAAATGGAAAACGTCTGCCTGGCATCTCTGCTGTCCAGGAAAAAACAACTGATAATGAGCTCAGATATTCCTTTTACAGAAATCCAGCCAGGATCCCAACCCCCTCAACGGCAGGAATCACCACTTGGTTCTGTGTCTTCCTTCTTTCTCCCGCTGTTCTTCTCACAAATACACAATGCCCTCTCCCCTCAGCACAGAGATGCAGGGGGTACCAAGGTCCCCTCCCTGTGCTGCCAAAGCTGTCACCCTGGGTGTTCCCAACCCACCTTGCCCATCATCTCAGCTCTTACTGCTCCAACAGTGTTGGTCCACGAGAAAGCTGAACTGTTTCCTGCAGCCATCCCATACGAGGTCTGGTTGCAGGTTAATATTACACCTTCCCGATGCAAAAAAGCTGTGCCACCTGCCCAGTGAGACGTGGTGTTCCTTTTCTTTGGGAAAATAATGGGGAAAATGTAGAGAAAGCATGAGGAATACTGCCAATAATGCTCACATGTTACAAGCCCATTTTGTTCCTTTAAATTAATTAGCTATATTCTTTCCATGGGCTGTGTATCAATATTGATCGTAGGAGAAAAATCAATCAAGGGATAAATCTGTGGCATGCATAAAAGGAAGTTTCGGTCAGAAGAAGCATCAAAATACTCCTCTCCAGCAATTGCTGGTATTTAAATACTTTCTCATCTCTCTGATGAGATGAGTCTCAGAAACCTTCAGCCTGGAGGAGTAGAAGAGGGGTGGAGAAGGAAGGAGGGGGGGTGGAAGAATCTTTCTTCTACCTGATTTGGAAGGTGATTTTGTCCAAGCTGGTTCTTACTGTTCCACGTAATCCTGCTAAAAATGAGTATGAAATTCACACCTAATTTTCATTACATGAGTGCAACAGTAGAGGCACTCACTCACGGATGCCCTGCTCAAGTGCAGGAACCTCAATAGAGCAGAGCTCTGAAAAATGGTCATAAAGGACACCATAAACGCTGTGGCTTAAGGGTGGGATATGACAGGTTACCCTGAAGAGAAACCTGCTCTCTCCAGGAGGGCTGAGCTACCCACCCCGGGGGTCTTCACTGCGCTGTGGAACCACAGAAACAGGCTTGAGCGTGTTGTAATATCACTCCCTGAAGCATTTCCTCAGAAATGATGCGTCAGCACCATGATACTCAACCCTTTGGAGCTCACATGACATTCTAAATCTTTCCAGAAACAAGGATGCACTGTTGCTTGAGGCTGATGGAACTATAAGGCGGAGTTGGCAGCAAAACAGACCAAGATCCAGATTATTCTTCTTTCCCCAAATATTCTACAACCACTTTCCACCCCTATGGGTTGTTTATCTCTGCTCACTAGTTACTGCTCTGTGACCTGTAAACCTCTTCATTTGTGACCTGTTGCTGTGCAAAGATGTGTGAGGACAGAAATAAAAGTACATTTAGCCCAGAATTTTTCAGACATACCTGGAAAATACTCAAATGTATTTTCCCAACTACAGGAAAGACAAATTGTCGCTTAAGAACATCCTCACTGTTAAATGTGATTAGTTTTAGAATTTGCAAGTAGAGTGCTGAAATCCATTCTTTAAATGTGAAATTACATCTTGGTGCCAGATACAAATAATTGAATCAGCTGAAAGACACAGAACATTTGAGAAACCATTAAAATAATCAAGAATTTAAATTGAATTAATTCACCTTCTGTACCCCCTGTGAGATTTCTACCAGCAAATAGAGAACTTTTTGGTTTTTTTCTTAGATGTTTCTCAAAACGCAGATACAATCAAAGGACTAAAGGAATTTTTTTTCATGTCACTATGTCATCAGTCACTGCCTGGGGAGCCCTGGGGTGTCTTGTGGGCAAGCCCCAGGGGCTGCACCATGGAAAATATTCTGTGAAGAGCGGAGTCCGGCCTGAAAAGCAACCAGGTGGCATCTGCTGCTATCAACAGCCAGTTTCAAGGGCTGTAGGCACAGGTTACTCTTTCATGAGATGATATTTGGGTGAAAAATTAGTCCCCAAATGCTCTTTCAACTTTGACACTTTACCATTCTTAATATTAAACCTGTACGTGAGGCACTACTGCTGTAAAGTATTTTCATTGCTGTGCAATAATTGTTATTCTGTCTCAGCTTTCCCACTGGTGCAGATTTAGGGATTCAAATGCTGTTCATAGCTCCTTGTTAACATAGCTGAATTGCTGATGAAATACTGAAGTACTCTTCTGTGTGGACAATAATAGGCTACGCATCTTCCTTCATATTCGCCTCTTCTACTATGTTTTCAGCAGTTGGGGGAACTGCCCCCTCAGAAGAGAAAGGACTTGTTTGTTGTACTGTTATTTTTCCAGACAACATTCTAAATGGCTTCTCTAGACACACAAGTGTTTGCCACAGGAGAAAGGCCAGGCCATGCAGGTGATGGAAATGTAAAATTCTTGTTTGCCTGGGTGGCATTTACAAGTGTCAAATAAACGTAAAGCTCTTAAAACGATTTTTGAGATCTAATAACTTACATGCTATTGCAAAGCAATTTGGTATATATCAGAGAAAATAAATCTTGATGATTCCTGTACCTCAGCATTAGCTAATCTCAACATAATGGAAAAAGCATACCAAATTGAACAGAAACGATAGCAAATGTAAATGCTTTTTAGCATCCTATAGAGCTCAGCAGAAAAAATTATTAGTTCCTAAAGGTTCAAAAGAATGGATTAAATTGTTTTCAAAGGATGTACTTCTTAGAACATTAGTCTCCTCCAGATGATATCTTGAAAGCTATCTGAAACGACTACAGAACTCTAATGGCTGTGTTATTAAATGCTGTAGGGCTTTTCCCCAAAGGATATCTGCATTACTTTTGTGGTCCTCAGAATCTTATTATTTGAATAAGTATATCTTTAAATGAATGGACTGTTCAAATTATTGGGAGTGAAATACAGTGTACTAGCTCTGGACATTTTAAAAGATTTTTAAAAAATATCCTTAGAAGAAATCATGCATCCTGTTATTTAGTGCAGAAATCCAACATCTCATACAAGCTACCCTCCTGATCACCCTTCTCTCTTAAATGCCTTAAATGTAAACCATCTGGATCTGTGGTCACACCAGAGACATTAGAGAGAGAGAGAAAGGCCACACATCTTCAGATTAATGTCTAAGGTTGACTTTATGTGCAGTCTTAAAATGTGTGCCCTTTTGGTCACTGTCTTCATTTAAAAGACACAGGGAGGATCTGTAGGTATAGCCAACCTTGACCTACAAAGCTCAGTTGAACCATCTCAAATTTGACACTGAAGCAATCTAGGATGTTAGTTAGAAGCATCTCTATCGACAAATACAGAATAACAGACAGAAGGTGGGAAACAGCAATTTGCCACAAGTTGGTGAAAGTTCCTCAAGGGACCCCAAAGAGATGGGGTCAGAGTTCTCACCAACTTTCCCCTCCCTTTGTGCAGAATGTGGCTAAAGGAAAGTCTTGCTGATGAAACTGTAAAATCTGTTCAGTGGGATTTCCAGTGCCCTGGCTCAGCTGACAACTAATTTGTTTTGCCTTTGCCTAGCAGGGATTTTCCATGCAGTGGACTCTTGTTTGCTATGTAAGTCATCCGAGTATTTGTTAGTGTCATAGCCAGAGCCAGATGATGTTTATTCTGCGAACATCCAGTCGGACTCCAGCAGCGCTCATTGAGGTCAGGGCTTTATTTATAGAAGCAGATATACATTGAGACTCATTTTCTTTCCCTTGCTGTAATCTACCTAAGCTCATCCAAAATAGAAAGAAACATGCAGACATGCAAGTAATATACTAATTGGGCCAGATCCATGAATTAGCACAGCACCATAGAAGCCAATGAAAAAAAAGCATTTTAGAGCAGCTGATGATCTTGTCTATTATTTCTCCCAGGGAAGAGAAGGGAGGGGTTTAAAACCAGAAATAATAAAGCAAAAAGAACCAAGCAACAAAAATACCCCGGCATGTGGCAGAACAGGTCTGCAATGCAAAATTCCTCCACCGAGATCTGCAATTGAAATACCCTTTTTTTTTTTTTCCTGTCTTCCCAATCACCTGAAAGTGCAAGAATCAGAGTGCAGAGGAGAGCTCCAAGCAAGGAAAAGTAACGAGACTTAAAGCAATTTACCTGCTGAGACTGAGAAGACATTGTCAACGTACGCAGCCTGAGACAAAGCAAGGCAGAAGAAAAGCTGCAGGTAAGATCCCCAGAGAAGCGGGCTGAGGACCACCATGCTGCCTGCGCCCTGGCAGACTCCAGCTGAGAGGCGCAGGGCTGCTTTGGGGATCTCTCTCTCTCTCTACCCTCTCTGCCTTGCCTGCTCCCTGCCTCTTCCCTCGCTGTGGGATGCGTGTGTGTGTGTGTCTGTGTGTGTACGTCTCCCTCTCTCCCCCCTCCACCCCTCCCCGTGCCTTTAGGAAGAAAGAATGCCAACCATTTCCCATTAAATCTTCTCCTTACACTAGACACGGTTATATTTAACTCCTGCGCTGGATCAGTTGCCCCTATTGTGGACATTAGCTGCTAAAACTGGGGCATGGGGGATTCTGGTTTTGCTAACAGAAGCAAAAAGGCACTTTGGATAATAATAATGATGAGCAGGAAAGGGAGAAATTATGAACTGGACTATAAACAGCATCCTTCGGTGCAGGCAACCAGACACCGACGTCCAGATGGATAAAATTCCTGATTGATCATCTTCTACAGGTCACTAATTGCCTTAATGAGAGAGATGAGCAGTGACCTAACATCTGCTTATCACTGGTAGTTACAAGTGTTGCAGCTTGTAGTGCAGCTCAGGCTGAGGGATGCCACAAAGGCTTCACAAACCGCAGCACAGGTTATTATTATTTAGGATTTAAGTTAAAATGACAGTACCATTGACAGTGCCAGACACCGTAGGACCACAAAGACTTTACTGACAGGGTGCAACAGGTGGAAGAAACAATATGTGTGCCGTGATGGGGTGAGTGAAACGCTATGAGCTCCGGGGGTGGTGATGGTCAACACACTACACGGAGCTGTGGGAAGAAAACAAACCTCTAACTGGCTGAAAAACAGCATGTGCCCTCTTACCTCTACAAAAGCATGGTCTTTCTGTGCCTTATTCCAACCAGCAGGGTTTGCAAATAGATTCCTGTCCCCTGGATAACTAGCACAGGGATCCTCCTTTCTGCCTGGGATCCAACAGTGGTTTCCATGAAAAGGAGAGGTGCTCCTTCAGCATGAAAACCACCGTGACTTTCTCTCTTCCAGATGGTGATTATTTTCTTTGTCCGCTGTTTATTGTTCCTCCCAAGACAAACATGGAAATCTTTTGGATTAATTACTGAATTGATTTTTTTTTTTTTAAATTTGAGAAAACTACTTAACGACAGAGATGATGACAAGTCTCTCTGGGCATTAAGTCCTACAGAGTACACCACTAAAGGGCAAAGCGATGTATTTCCACAATTCTATTTAACAGCCTTGGCCATTGCTTTCAGGACATTGCAAATACATTAACAAAAACTTTCTAAATGTAATGGTTTGATAGGAACAATCACATCTGTCTTACATATTTCTATCCTTAAAGAACATGCTTAATATAACCATAATGCTTTCTAAAATCTCTTTCCAGTACTGCAACACTTTGGATAACTGAATTTATTTTTTAATTTAATCCACTTTGTTCCACTGTCAGTTACTTTTTAGTATTTGGCAATTTTTAGTGAAGATAGCAGTTTGGCCTCTTTCTTCTTTGACGAAGATGACCATGGATTAAGTAAGTGCTATTAGTTCTCTCGACATGATGCATCTCAGAAGGAAAGGCAGAGTTCCTGTGAAGTTTATCATGACAAGCCCTAAGACAGACAGACAAATGTCCAGCTGCCTGATGATAGAGGTAAGCAGTGGACAACCCCCACACGAGAAGCCTGCATGGATGCTAGAAAAAAAATGCTTAAAAGTTAAAATGTCAAGATTTTATCAGAAGATTCACCTCTGGAAATGTCTGATCAACTCAATAGTTAGTCAAAGCAACAAGTGACTGATTTCAAATCCTCTTGTAGTCTTTTAGCAGTAGGACATCTGCTAGAAGCTTGTAATACAAAATATGTTCTGTTTGATAAGGAAACTAATTAATCCAATAATTAATCCAAATTAATCCAAAAATATTGCAAAGAACCAGGATCATGCAGTAGGACCCATATCTTTCCCCTCCTCCCTCACCCTCTTAACAATTTCAGTTCTTGCTTCTTCGGCCTAGAACAGAAATGAATGTTCAGGTAAAAAAAGCAACAACATCTTGCTTGAAGAATATAGCAAGGAATTCTATCACAAATCACATCCACCCTTCTGACCTGCGCTAAAGAAGACAGGAACAAAGAATATACCTCTCCCTCACAAGTGTGAGCACTATATTGGAGTTGGCCAGAAGTGATAGAGAAAGGCAGGGCTGATTAAAGAAAATTAAAAAGTTAGCTTTGCAGTCAATTCTTAAGTAAAGATTTTTAATTAACTTTTCTCAGTGGAGAACCCTGACTAAAAATGGATGCTTTGTCAGCATTCACCTTTCTTTTGACTCAGCACCTCCATCACTCTGAAGTCTGAGCCTCTTGACCTGAACTTGCCCTTGGCCACTGCAAGAGGAAAGCTCTGTAGGCAAATACCCTGCTGCGGAAAACACACCATCTTCCACAAAGGACTCAAAAGGAGATGTTTGGACTTATAATTTGAAGAGACCTCATCATCATGATGTAGTAGTAGTTCACCAACTCGTTAGTTTTTAGTGGGAACACCATTAGGTCAATGCAAAGGAGAGCTCTCATGACAAGGCAGCAAGCCCGACCACGTCACGGTGCAAGCACTCGTTTTTGTTTCCTCTCATTTTAAGGCATCAGCCAAGCTAAACCTGCTGGTGAGGTTGCTAAAGGTTTCCATGGGAGAAGAATGAAGTCCATTTGAAATAAAACAAATGATAGCTGTGGGCTTTTTGCTTTTAACTTAGCCAGGTGGCAGCATATAAGACTGACACTGCATGCCAACTGGCGCTCCACGCTAGGATGTACACCTAGTGTGCATGGCTTGCTTCTAGCCTCCGTGGCATCGGTACACGTGATAGAGACGATCCCGAGAAGGGGAAGTGTCACGTAACAGAGTGAAAAACACACAGTGCGAGAAACCTGACAGACGTGTGCTTTCCAGGCCCCTGAGCCATCTGTCATCCCTGAACTCGCTCAGTCAAACAGTTCATTCCTCCAGCTATTCCCATGGGCCCATGAAGCCAGCAGAAAGCTTCTGCTCCCTTCAGAGAGCTCCGTGCCAGGAAGTTAAGGCCAGTGCTCTCAGATTAAAGATAAATCCTAGTCTCTATCACTCAAACAGCAATTAATAACCAATTAATAACTGAGGATTATTTTTCGTCTTTCTGTATTCAATGCAGCTGCTGTTGCTGATGTAGAGAAAACTCACATTAATGTGACTTCATGGTGCAACCACTGGAGAAGATCCCATAAAAATTTGGGAATAAAAATGTTTTTAAAAAGTGTTACAATTTTGCTACGAAATTAGATTTGCTAGAAATAGAAGTGTTTCTTCCTGCATAATTCGTAGTTGTTTCTTACTAGAATTGCTATTATGAGACGAGGAGTAGTATTCATTGAATGGAAATACAATGGCTTCAGCAGTATTTCTGTTTTAGATGACATCACCTAAAGAAAGAAACACAGCTAAGGGTTCACTCTCTGCAGTTTCTGAGTCTTACAAGATGTCCCAATGGCCTAAGTAAGAACAAAGGGTTTTGAGGACTTAACTTAAAAAAATGATTCCATGGTGAGAACCTCAGAAGCCCAAATGTCACCTGCAGTTTATTGTTCAGAGATTAAGATCCCCACAATTTTATCACAGGGAATAATCTGCAATTTTAAAAATCCTATTTTGAGTAAGTGTCAAAGCAACTAAAAATGTCAAAAGCCAACCACCACAATGAAAAACTATGAGTCTGCACAGTTTACCTGCTCAAGTAGCTGTTGCTCAGTCTTTTCAACCCAGACCTGAACTCTTAGAAGAGGGCAGAAGACTCTGCTGATGATCCTACATGTAAAGAGAATTTATGAACATTTTAATTAACAAGTTTTAACAAGAATTAACAAGTACTTGTTAAAAAGAAGGTTCCTTCCCAGTCATATCCATTTTTGGTTGGCAGGTCCTTCATTAACAAGACAAGGGAAAATTAATGTAGTTAAAATATCATTAATCTCAAGGTTCTCTATGAACACAGTTCTAGCTAGAAGGACAAAGATAATTGAGACTTTCTAGTTCAAAAGTCTGAAAGCTCTTCTGCTGAGTGGGGCAAAGGTAAAACAGCAGCCCAGTGTTAATGCAATAATTCAATAACAGATTTTATCTGCAAAGTAGTACAGAAGAATTCTGTTCATTCAATTAGTGCAGGAGATGGAAAAGATTTTTTATAATTATATTTTCCTTGTTAGATAGATGTTTAGCAACAATTATTTTTCACAATAAAAATACCTGTTCAAGTTCACACATCTCAATCAATTACACCTAACATTTAGATATAATACTTTGACAGCACAGATAACGTTACTTTGGAAGATGTTATTATATACATGTACAAAGGCAGCTGCTGAAGTAAAAAAAAGATAGTAAGCGCAGAAAAACAATGAATGGCTTCAGCATTTCCTTGCTGGCGTTTTTAGACTTAATTCAGAAGCCCATATAGCAATAGACCCACTAACTGTGCCACAAAGTTAATTCAGCCACTCAATGAAGTAAATTCAACCACTCAATGAAGTAAATTCAACCACACGAGGAAGTTCTCACTTAATCGACAGCTCCACTTGTGCCAGTCCCCCAGCAGGGTATCAGGTCACAGGGCAGCTGGCAAGGCAAGTGCTCCTAAGTCTTCAGGTTACCCACTGGATGAAGAGGGCGAAGGCAAGACATTGATGGCATGACACTGATGTCCTGGCAAAGGCAGGACATTGATGCCCAGCAACCTCCAAAAGCAACCTTTTTGGCAGATTGGCCACTTAATGGGTGCTATACATTGCACAAGTAGCAGCCTCCTGACTTCCTCTGTCTATATTCTGTATTTGCTATTTGCAGAAATGCAAAACTGGCTAGGAAATCTGATTTCTTTTTACACTTTTCAGAGGTTACTTATTTCCAGAGCAGTCCAGCTCTCACCCCATTTTTAGAAAGCTGAGCTCCAAACTCTAACTTCATGCCTTTAGACCTATTTCAAAGGTTCAGTCCTTCACTTTTTTCCTCCTATGAGTAATCCCCATGCACATGTTTCTATTGATGATAACAGAACAAACTACAGCATAAAA